CCAAATATGAGCTAACACTGCAGCCCTTAACGTTTTGACGTAAAACGTCATCCTCTCCCTGGATTGATTCACTTTATAAACTGCAGAGTTCAGTCCAGCACAACTCCAAACATCAAACCATCAGACGTCACTGATCCAGAAATAGACCCAGACATGAGTCTCTTTGCATTTCATCCCAATAAAAATGAGGTTTTTTGCCTCAAATCTAGTTAAGAGCTTATCTTCAGCTCACTCTAACACGATGAAGCCCAGAAGTCAGATGATTAGATAACAGCATCAATTCTGTGGAAACATTTTGCTAAAATGCAGATGGGTCAGCCAAACAGATCATCCCTTTGATGTAAACAATAAATGCATGTTAATTTGCTTCATTATTTTTATTATCATAAGTAATAACAACAACAACAACAATAATAATAACAAATTATTTATGAAAGGTATTTGATACTGTATGTTTATAATTAGTGTAGTTATTTAAAAGAACACATTTTTTCTTCCTATTTTAATTAGCTGCTACCATCCAAGGGCTGTACTCTGCATTGTGTCTACTTTTATTTGCCCTTAAATAACAATGCTGACATTTAGATTGATGACATTTATGTGTGTCTTTAGGAGTTTTTCTGCTTCCTTCCAGCAACAGAATCAGACTAGGCATACATTTCTTAACATTATTTAAATCTAAATTGAAACTAAAATGTTGTAGCTTTCTGTAAATAAAAAGGAAAAATTGAATTAAACAAGTATTAGATGACTTTTTCCTTAAGCTTCCATCGCTGCTTGTTTCCATACATAAGAAAAAGAAATATGTCTTTTCAAAATGACAAATTACAGTTGTTAAACATGATTCTGTCTGAAGCCATTCAGGACCAGAATGCAGAGGCTTCATCTCGGATGCAGATGATCTGAGGACCATTCGGGGTTGTTTTAGGATGTTGGTGAGCCTGAATTGACAGGTTAGCGTATGTTTTGGTGTGTTTGAATGAAACATCCTGCTGTGGTACTGCCGTTGTTGTTTATTTGCTGCAGAAATATGTTCTGTTTATCTGAGGATGTTCCAAACACAAAATGTGCCATCTGAGCTGTTTGTTGGTGTGTGTGTGTGTGTGTGTGTGTGTGTGTGTGTGTGTGTGTGTGTGTGTGTGTGTGTGTGTGTGTGTGTGTGTGTGTGTGTGTGTGTGTGTGTGTGTGTGTGTGTGTGTGAGGAAGCACTAAACACATTCTCCTGAATAACGAACCCTTTAATAAAAGTGAAATGGCCAACATGATGCAACGCCTCGACATCAGGACAGTACAACAACAAATGTTCAGGCGAGCTGTCGTACGGAGCCTGCCTTCTGGGGATTTCTTCAACACGCAGCCGGACGTCTAGGCATCTGTTTCAGTCACAAAGCTCCGGATGTGAAGAACAGAGGGCTGTAAACATTTACACATCTCAGTGAGACGCGCTGGTGTGTTTGTGACTGCACATCCTGGCCGGTCCCCTCCTGTACGGACTATCCACTGGCCTGACAGTGAAGGGAGGCAGCACAACGCATGTTTGGACAGCCTTTTACACACTCTCTCAATTTCCATCTCATCCTCACACACACAGTTTTCTGTCATAGGAACCAACTTTATGACCACTGTTTGCAAGGACGACAGTCTCTAACGTGACGATGACCGCGAGCAGGGCCAACAACCTAAGCTGCTAAGTTTATGGAGGAAAACTGGTGACAGTGATTAAGGCTTTGAATTTTGATAAGGGCAGGTGACAGGCAGTGTTGGGCAAGTTACTTCATAACTGTAATGCATTATTTATTACTTGTTACCCTCATTTTAAAGTAATTCATTACATTACAATATTAATGATTTTAAAATGTAAGGCATTACACTACTTTTACATTACTTTAAGTTACTTTCACAAAACAACTTCAATATGAATCTGGTCATGTGATGCTCAGTGAACTCATGACACATCCAGAGGAAGGTGATGTGGTGTCTGAGCTAGGATTGCTGTTAAAAACAGTCAGATATAATAACAGTGCTTTAAAATGATTGTTTATTAAATAAAAGCAACAACAATCTGTACTCTCAGCATGCTGCCATCTTATATTAACTGAGCAGGATGTGAGGTGGTGGGGGCTCCAAGCCTATATTCGCCTTGGTCCCCAAATGCCTTGATACGGCCCTGGATGTGGGACTGACTTCTGGGGTGATCTGATTCCATCACATGTATAAATATTAATGCTTACATATTATTGCTTTTCACTGGTAAATATGTGTATTGGGGATAAATCTACCTACCTTTTTTCTTTTCAAGCACTTTGTTTTGTTTTCTTGATTTTATTTGAATAATTTCCTGCCCTTTCTCTCTCTAACCTTCCTGCATGCTGCATGTTTTCAGTCTTCCAGAAAAACTGTTTCCTAGATTTCCTACTTTCTAACTAATCAGCCAAAAGGATCTACCGAACGCAAAAAAAAAAGCTTAATATGTTGTAGCGTTGCTCCAGCAGCAATGAGTTGAACTCACCAGGCCACAGATTATGAACTCAGCTGAAAAGTGCATGAAGTACCAGAGAATATGGGCTGATATAAACGATCGCAAATGAATGACTTTGTTTTGGTGGAGCGATTTTGTGAATATAACAGCGGCCGCGTGCAGGACGCAGCTGGAGTATTTGAGCCATTACCGCTGCGTCCTCTCTGCTCATAGAATGCCCGCAAAGCTGAGTCCATAAATGACGTCATAAATGTGGATACTGGATCTTTTTTCAGGCTTCCCGCAATTTGAATTTTTAGGAAACCCACATCTTGATTCTGGGTTTAAAATGCATTGTAACTACCACGTTACTGGCAATTGTACCGAGTAAATATTACCGTTTTCTTTCCCTGTAATGCCTTACATTACCACATTACAGCAAAAAGCAATGCATTACAGTAATTAAGTACTTTTGTACCGCGTTCCTCCCAACACTGGTGACAGGCAGGGGGCAGCAGAGACAGATGGGACACTTCATGAAGACCTGCAGCATTATCCACTAAACTTTATGGCTGATGCAGCAAAAACCTTTGTGGATCAACGAGGAAAAACTGAACTATAAAACAAAAAGAATGGATCTGACTAAAAGAAAGGAGAAAAGTGTTCATCTCAATGTGAAAACTTTCTTAAAAAAGTTTCAAAATAGACCACATAGAAAGTGATTTTGGCCATTTGGATAACAACATTTTTAAAAATGAACCATCCAAATAAACGGACTCACTAAATAGTTTCTCAACATTAAGTCATGAAATCTGTGGAAAAAGTACAAACAGGAATGTTTCATTGGAAGGTGATAAAGTCCCTGAAATAGAGCATCTTCATTTACAAGATCTTGTTTGGAACCAAAAAAGAACCAAATACATAAAAATATTGAGATGTTTCAAATAATTATTCCCAGAAAAAATGTACAGTAAGGTGAAATAGATTTCAACCATTTGGAATTCGATCTAAATTTGATCTAAATGAATCAGCAACAACAAAATATAAGCTGAACCGACGACAGAGACGGTTTCTTTTTACAAACATGACTGACTGAGTGAGTCTGGTCTCAGAACAGGAACTTCCTGAAGTCGGTGGAAAACAAGAACCTGGTCAAGTGGAGTCCTCTTATGGACCACGAAGAAATCCCTGAAACAGGTAAACTTTTCTCCACCAGATCTCCAGAGGCAGAGGAAGCTAGCCTCCATTAAAACCTCTGCAGCCCCGGTCATTCTGGTGGCGGGCCAATCACAGTGCTCTATCGGTTTGGTAGGCGAGATGTTACTGCAACTGAGCGAAACTCAGATGGCGGCGGACCATTTGAAACGGCTTTGGACAATGTAGACGTGGGCTTTTCTTTGAATCTAGAGCAGACAGAGGAACTTAAGTCCTTTATTTAGAAAAGGATGGATTTGTGTGTGTCTGTGTATGATGGACCGACCCGTTGACATACATCCATAGTGAGTATGTCACATTGTCTGTTGTCCAGTAGCATGCAGAGACAGTTTAAAAGACAACCACGACTGAGCTCTGTCTATGGGTCGTGGTCAGATTATTTTCATATATAGGACGGCCAAGCTGAGAGGAGCCGAGGCCCAGTGACACACAGCTGCAACACTGGGGTGTAACAAAAGACTCACCAGAGTCCTAAATGATAACAAGCTCATTTCAATAGGAGACAGGCCGTTAGGGGGCAGAAGAAATTTTTTTTCTTGTCCCTAGATCAACCAAATGAGACAAAAAACACATGAAGCAAGTTATTCGTTTTTAGCGTCAATAACTTCTTCAGAACTGAAAACACTCCTTGTCTAACCTTCTCTCTGTTACACCTACAAACCGCCACCTTCTCGGGTTTAATTGGTGCCTAAACAGATCAAGCAGTGAGGCATCAAATTCAGGGAAATGCACAAGTCCAGTCAGAACTTAGTACAGAACAGTTTTTCCAGAACACACACACAAGAGAGAGAGAGAGAGAGAGAGAGAGAGAGAGAGAGAGAGAGAGAGAGAGAGAGAGAGAAGCCTCCAATCCCACTGAGGGTGTGGCCAGACACACAAACTTCTCCCATCTCTAACACAGTGAGGAACCACCAATGGTGATGACAGCTGACCCCCCCCCCCCCCCCCCCCCCACCCCCACCCCACCCCACACACACACACCACCCCTCAGTTCTGCACAGGAACACAGAGGCAGATCTCAGCTCTCTCTTCCTGTCTCCACTCCTCTTCCTCCTCCCAGTCTCTCCATCTCTGCTTCCTGTAATCTGTGGAGCATAATGCAGCCCTCCATCTCCCCATCCTCCCTCCCGCTCTTCTCCACCTCTCTGCAGTGCTACAGCACTCTGCTCTCTCCATACACAGAGTGCCGTCAGCTGGCCGACAGAGAAAGAAGGGGAAAACACACACTGGATAGCCGTCCCCCTTCCTCTCCCATCCTCCAGCTGATGCCTCGTGTTCACACCGAAAGAGGATGATGGACGGGGACAGGGACAAGCTGCGGTCTTACCGTCCTGGTTTGTGTTGCTCCTGGCTGCAGACAGTTACTCTCGTTCAGATGTCTCCTCCTCACTTCTTCTTCCTCCTCCTCCTCCTCTGGCTGCTGCTCTAATAAACCTGCTACAGAGAGGCTGCCTCTTTCTCTTTTTTCTCTCTCCCGTCTGCATCCTCCAGCCCCTCCCCTCATCTCTCCCCCTCCCGTGTCTTCTCTGTGATGCTCTTTCTGTTCGCAACATAAGGGCTGGGATTGTGTTTGGCCCTTCCCACACAAACATATGCAACACAAATAATTTTCTATAAACTCTAGTCCTGGTTATTATAGTTTTATTTATTTATTTGGGTTTTTTTTGCACAAAAACATAAAAACTGCTTATTTCTAAGGAAACGTTATTTTGTTCTTACAGCTGGTCCATTTAACTCAAGCAGACATATAAATGTTCCAGTCACACTTGTGTCAAGAGTAGCTTTACTAAAAGGTTCTGAGCTGAAAGATCATTATTAATGAAAAAATAATCTATTATGGAGGAAAAACAAAGCTGGAAGGGAAAAATAAATAAAGAAGTTAATCTGGAAAAGCGGTGAGAGCTATTATAAAAGCTGACAGCCGCTGGTTTCATAGTAAAGACCCAATCTAAGAGTTCTGGCAAAAAAAATTATAAAGCTTCAAAACTTTTAGAAAACAAGTTAATTAGGAATAAATAGAAGACGACAATAGATAATAAATGTTCTAAAGAAGCTGATGAGGAGCAAAAGCAGGGAGATTAGTTTGTATCGACCAGAAGAGGGGCCCAGGTTGGACTTGGGACCTTGTTGTGGGTCTTGAGATGATTTCTAAAAAACAAATACAGCTGGAAGTAACTCCGGACAGATTTGCTTCAGAGCCAAAATATTTTGAGTAACTACAATGTTCATTTCTTGGTTCTTTTAAAACACAGAAAAGAAAAGTTGTTCTATATTGTGTGTCGGTGTACCTGTGCTGTCTACTGTTGGTCTAAGCAGGGTGTTCTGTTTGTGTGTTTTGGGGTTCCATAGATTCTTGGGATTATATTTGCTGTAGGGATCCAGTGTTTGTAATGTAAAGGATGAGTCGTTTACATCTTACTTTATGAACCATAAAATGTGAGATTCCATAGAAATATGAAATATCAATCTGATGGATCTCTGAATATTTTAACCGGAAGATCAGAACTTTTTATTGCAGGGATTAAGCGACACTTCATATTAACTCCGAGGAGAGAGAGAGAGTCCGGTTTGTAATAGTTAAGAAATTTATTTCTACACAATTTAAACAAGACTAACTTTAACACTCTGTGTACTGATGGACTAAGGTGCAGTGAGACGTGATGAATTATGATGGTGTGTGTGTGGAATGTTATTCAGAACCAGCGGATCCGGAGAAGCATTTAGTTCTGAGTGGGAGTGAATGTTTCGCTCTAAACTTTAGTTGGAGATTTATAACACACACGAAACGCCATCTGTCGGTCTACGTACCCCAGGGGAAGCCTCCGTTAGATCCAGAATGCCGAGGTCCTCATGGACCCTTGTGACAGCGGTGTCTGTCACCTCAGGGACACGGTCTTCTGGTAATGTTTGTTTTCTGTGTTCTGTCCAGGATGACTGGTTGATGTGCACACAGTCTTCGGTTTATGAATGCATGTGTTAATTTTCTACTTCTATTTGAGTTACCAGTGACTTGGAGTGGCCCATGGAGCTCACACCTGCAGCTCATCTCCTCAGGAAGCCTAATCAGCACTCCTGGGATCTACCTACTCCCAAGGGAGGGGAGATTCACATTTATGCTTGAGTTTAATTTAATGTAGATATTTTCTGTTATGGATAGGGAGTTTGTAATTATGATTTAGTTCTTTGAGTTACCTGAATTGATTAGACGGGTTAGTGTGTGTGTGTTTGTGTGTGTGTGTGTGTGTGTGTGTGTGTGTGTGTGTGTGTGTGTGTGTGTGTGTGTGTGTGTGTGTGTGTGTGTGTGTGTGTGTGAGAATGTGTGTGTTAATTGTATGTTAATTGTTCCCCTCTTGTTTGTAGAGTGGTCTGATCAGCCACTATTAAAGTTGAACCTGGTGTGTCTGAAATGTTGTTTTTTCTCCTCTGGATAACGTGTGTCTTGTGCTGGTGTCATTCTGACTAGTTTACATTGAATAGGTTAAGTTCATGTTAATTTTGAAGCTTCTCCAAAATAAAATGGAGTTTTCAGAATCATCAGCAGTGCTTCTCTGGCTGGTTTGTGCAAGTCCTTAACAACCCTCTTTGGTACCGAAGCTGGTACAAAAGCAGCAGTGCCGACCAAAGTAGTCTTGGAATGCTTCCAGGTCACGACAGGTTATCACTGGCGTCTCCGAGACCCTGAAGGGGTCGTGAGGTTCAGCTTTTATTCTGAAGGAACCGTTGCGGTCAGGTGTAACTTGCAACAGATTTTATCCAGCTTGTCTGAGGTTCTTTTTGGCTGAAGAGGAAGTCCGGATGGCCGGTCCGAGACTTCTCTAGAGCGCTTTGAACTAAAGAAAAGGTGGCGTGGGATAGTTTTTATTATTGTGATATTCTGGTTTACTGGCTAATCAAAATTTGGCATGCAAAAGAGGGTTTATACAAACACCACAGACAACCACGCCCAGCCAGAAACGAAGGTTCTGATTGGATCAGACAAAAGGAAATGTGTGGAGTGGCTTTAGCATTACGTGTCCTTAGTGTCTAGTGCAAATGTCCAAGATTATAATAACTTGTAAAATACTACTGATCACAGGATTATAATATCAAGTAATAACATTGTCATTTCACAGACTGATTGAACATTGGGCTCACATTATTAATGGTAATTAACAAGGTTGTTTATGTGTTTATCAAAATTGTTTTTCGTCTTCGCCTTGAGCTGTAACAGAGAAGAAGCAGTTCAGATGAGCAGAGTGCATGAAAGACCTTGGCCACTATCTCATGTAGATTAGCTTGTCAGAGACTTTATGTCTCTGCTCGAGCAGACGCAGCAGATCATGACCTTTAGGTCAAAAACAGGGCATTCATGATGCTACAGTACACTTATTTATTTATTTATTTTTGTTATTTGCCTTTTTCTTGTAGTGGTTTCAGTCATTTCTTTCATATTTTTCTTTATGCCTTCTGTTGGATCTTTCTTTGTGTTGCCATTTAATTTCCTCCTACCAAAAATCAGAGACGGCCATTTTTGAGATGACTTTGAGTAACTTTGTTATTTGATTTAAAAAAAAGCTGTGAAAATACAAACAGCACATTCTGAAGCCTAACGGTGTGACTAACTTGATCATTGCGACGGGGCGACGGTGGCACAGGAGTTAAGTGCTCGCCCCGTAATCGGAAGGTTGCAGGTTCGAGTCCCGCTCAGTCTGTCGCTGTCGTTGTGTCCTTGGGCAAGACACTTAACCCACGTTGCCTGCTGGTGGTGGTCGGAGGGACCGGTGGCGCCTGTGCTCGACAGCCTCGCCTCTGTCAGTGCGCCCCAGGGCAGCTGTGGCTACAATGAAGCTCATCCCCACCAGTGTGTGAATGTGTGTGTGAATGGGTGAATAACTGATTGTGTTGTAAAGCGCCTTGGGGGGTTCCAGGACTCTAGAAGGCGCTACATCAAATACAGGCCATTGCAGTGAACAAAGCTTTGTAGGGAGAAATTCTCCAAGCTTGATTCCACGTTTAAATGTTGTGTGCAGATTTATTCAGTTCCTACTGAAAAAGCTACACCCATTTTCTCCATTTAAAGATGGACAGATGTAATCCTGAGGCTACTCCTGCTCCTTCTTTTTCCGGCTGCATGTAACCCACACAGAATCATGTCTTGACCCTTATGGGCCTTTTCCACCGACCAAACTGGCCTGGAATGGGAAGGATCGGGTCGCTAAATATTTTGTCCGATTGTTAAACCAGTCCAGAAAACCTACCCGGACCGGGCCAGTAGCGGGCCAGACCGGGACCCCTTCTGTTGTGGGTTCAGAGATTTTTGGTCTGGGCGGAGCCACAGCGTAAAAGGTCTAGAGTCCTCTGATTGGGGGAGAGATTATGTAACTACCCGCAACAATCCCAGGAGATGGAAAAGAGCTACCTGAGTTCCAGTGTTTGTGTTTGGCTGTGCTCCTTGTGCGAAAATGCCTGCAAGTAATAGCTTTTGGTCCAATGCGGAGCTTCAAACGTTCCTCACCATCATCGGAGATAGCAACATTCAGGCCGAGCTGGATGGGATGCCAATGAGAAAGTCTTTAAAGAAGTTTCTCCGCGCATGGCAGCTGAAGGATTCCAGCACACCTTCGAACAGCGTCGTGCGAAGCTGAAAAAAAACAAAGCCCACTACAGAAAAGTTAAGGACAGCAACGGCTGTAGTGGGAATGGGCGAAGTACATGGAAGTGGTACGATGTGGTGGACGCTATTTATGGACACAGACCGTCAAACCTAGGCGGCGAAGGAGGCCTGGACTCGGCGACCATTATCCTGGAGTCACTCGTAAACCCAGTTGGTAAGCATTTATTTTGTTGTCTTTTTAGCTCTGCAGGCCATTCATTGCAGCACCAAAAACACTGAATAATAGCAGCACCTATTTAAGAAATGCCCAGCAAGTAGAGGATTTACCCCCTCGTGTTAACTAGCCTTAGCATCCCCTCGTGTTTATGTTAACCTTCATTTAGCATTCCCTCGTGTTTTTTAACACGCTGTTCGTGATTTAAGCCTTTCATGTTTAGCGTGTCCTTGTTGTGTACATGAGGCTGGAGCGGAGTTTGCCTTTCTTGTTAGCGTCTCATTGTTTAAGACGTGGCAAAAGCAGTTAGCCTTTCACGTTAGCATCTCAGTGTTTTTAGCATCTCATTGTTTAATACAGTTGAGCACCCACAGTGAGGAGCAGCGAGCTGATCTAAAGATCCCAAAAGTCGCGCCAGCAGTGTTTTTAGCCTAGAGTGGACTTTTAACAAGTATATTTTCAAATGAATAAGAATATAACATAAAATTGCAATTAATCTGTACGTCACTAACGAATTACTGCCATCTAGTGGACACATTCCAACATGACAAAATGGAACTACTCATAGTAGTTTTATTATAATAGCTCCTACAGTGCACGTGTGCACGCACGCACCTCCATTCACATGGTAATTGCATACAGGGTTTGTGACCCCGCCATGAACTTCGGGACACAAAGAGATGAACTGCACAC